GATGAGAACGGCATCATCCCCCCTGACACCTTCTACATCTGCCTGACGGTGTGGGCCAGCAACGACCCCCTGGGCTTTGCCGCCTCCCAAGCCAACTTCTACCCCCCACCGCCCGAGTGGATCCATGACAAGTACGACACCACGGGCGAGAACCTGCGAAGTGAGTGAGCACAGTGGGCTCGCCGTGGCCCCCTCCTGCCCTCCGGCATCCCCCTGCAGAGGACCCCACTCCCTGCATCTTTCCTGCCCTACAAGCGTCACCCCAAAGAGAACCCCCCCACATCCCTTGTCCCGTCAGCATGCTCTGGTAGAGAAACTGCCCTGCTTCCCTATGCCCCATGCTCATCCCCCCTGCACCCCACACCCTGAGCATCCCACTGCGCACTCCCCCTGCCCTTCGCCCTCCTGCTGCATCAACACCCCCCTGCTCCGGCCCACGAGCATCTCACCACAAAGAAGCCCCTCCACTCTGTTCCCCCTCTGCCTGACAAGCATTACCCTGCTCCCCGTGACCCCCTACCCCACAAGCATCCTGCCCACAGAGAAACACCCTCCTCCTTGCTCCCTGAGCGCTCCCCAGCCCCGTGGTAGCCGGCCAGGCATCGGGCTGCCTGGGCTGCTCTCAGGCTGGTGTGGCTGGGGTGCCCCTGTGCTGCCTGCACTCCCGTGCTGCCTGTACCCCTGTACTGCCCGTGCTCTCCTCCCCAGTCCCAGCAGCCCAGCCGCTCGAGTTCGCGCAGTTCCCCTTCTACCTGAGTGGGCTGCGTCGCACAGCTGACTTCGTGGAGGCGATTGAGAGCGTGCGGGCCATCTGCCGGGAGGCCGCCCAGCGCCACGGGGTGCTGAGCTACCCCAGCGGCTACCCCTTCCTCTTCTGGGAGCAGTACATCGGCCTGCGCCACTGGTTCCTGCTGGCCATCAGCATCCTGCTGGCCTGCACCTTCCTTGTCTGTGCCCTGCTGCTGCTCAACCCCTGGACGGCCGGCATCATCGTGAGTACGCACCCCGATGCATGGGGACGAGGCGGTGACTGGCTGTGCTGCCCTCCTGATGGGTGGGGACAGGGACATCCAGCCCTGCTCCCATCCTGCTGGGTGGCCCTGGGTACCTGCTTCATGGGGATGGGGTGATGGGGTGGCCAGGGACATTCTGGTGGGAGGGACACCCATATGGAGGTGGCAGTGGGTGGGGCACACCCATATGGAGGGATCAGGGACATCGCTTATGAAGGGAACATATGGAGGGGACAGGGGTCTGGGGACATCCATGCAGAGGAGTGTGGGGAGAACACCCATATGGAGGTGGCAGCAGGTGGGCAACCTGTATGGACGGATCAGGGACACCCCTTATGAAGGGAACGTATGTAGTGGGCAGGGGTTTGGGGACATCCATGCAGAGGATGTTGAGGGCTACCCCCAATAGATGGGACAGAGGGACACCCCCAATTGAGGGGAAAGAGGCAATAGGGTGAGGCTGCCCTGTATGGAGGGGTAGGATCGGGCATGCCAGGCAGAGGGGCAGAGGGGCAGAGGGGACAGCCGGGCAGAGCCACCGCTCACTGACCCCACCGCCCCCCAGGTCTCCATTCTGGCCATGATGGCAGTGGAGCTGTTTGGCATCATGGGGCTGATGGGCATCAAGCTGAGCGCCATCCCTGTGGTCATCCTCATCGCCTCGGTGGGCATCGGCGTGGAGTTCACCGTCCACGTGGCTCTGGTGAGTGCAGGCAGACCCCTGCCCGGCCACGGGGCACCACAGTTCCCACTCTGCAGCACCCTCACCCCCTTGGCCATGTGCCAATGGGTGGCCACATCACAGGTGGCACACGGGGACGAGCCCCGCATGACATCCCCACCCCATGCAGGGCTTCCTGACGGCCGTGGGGAGCAGGAACGTGCGCTCAGCCGCGGCGCTGGAGCACACCTTCGCCCCTGTGATGGATGGTGCCATCTCCACCCTACTGGGCGTCCTCATGTTGGCTGGCTCCGAGTTTGACTTCATCATGAGGTGAGCACCAGAGGTGGGGTAAACCAGCCGCTTGCTGCCCCGCAAAAGCTTTGGCAGTGGGGGCTGGTGAGCATGGCAGCCTCCCTGGCTGGTGGTGGGGATGTGGGACAGCTGGCGAGGACGTGTCTTGCTGGGGGCACCCCCCCCCATCTTTCATGGAGGCTGGGGAGACATGGGGGGGGCTGGGGTGTGTGGTGTGGGAAGCCATGTTTGGGGTGGGACAGGGTTCATGGGGGCCGTGCCTGCTTACACCCTCTGCTTGTGGTCCCTCCAGGTACTTCTTTGCGGTGCTCACCATCCTGACACTGCTGGGGCTGCTCAATGGGCTGGTGCTGCTACCCGTCCTGCTCTCCGTCATTGGGCCACCCCCCGAGGTACGAGGCCCTCATCCCACCTCTCCCTATTCCTCCCCCATCCCATACCTGCGTTTCTTCATCCCCCCCATGCCCTTCACCCTGTCCCCCCTTCACCCTATACTCGTCCTTGCCTTGCCCAGTCCCAACCTTGCCCCATACTCACCTCAGCCCATCCCTCACGCTGTACCATCCCTGCTTTACCCCGTCCTTTCTCTGCCCTGTATCCAGCTTGCCCCATACCTGCACGACTCCACTCCTGCCTCACCCTGTACTGGACTCTCCCCATCCCTCCCTGACCCATTTGACCCCATCCCTGCCTCACCTCGTATCTCCCTCACCCCACACAGCCCTCGCCCCATCCTCGCATCACCCCTTACTCCCTGCCACCCCCAGCTCCTCCATCCCTGCATGTCCACAGTCCCTCTGATGCTGTCCCCTCTCTCCCCAGGCATCCCCAGTGGATAACGGCCCCCGCCTTCCCCCCCCG